TGGATCGCGTCCACAACGTGTTTCATGTTTCCATGTTGCGGAAATTTCTTCGAGATGAGGATCGGTATCAGCATATCGATGTTGGGGAGATTGCGTTGCAGCCGGATGCAACTTATTTAGAGCCACCGTGTCGTATTGTCGACCGACGAGATCAGATTTTTCATAATAAGGTTATTCCTTTGGTTCGTGTTCAGTGGAGTCATCACAATGAGTCTGAGTCCACTTGGGAACGAGAGGATGTCATTTGCTCACGGTTTCCTGAAATATTGGAAGAAGGTAAGAGTGAATTCCGAGGACGGAATTCCTTTTGTTAGGGGGGAAGAATGTAATACCCCAAAAAGGATATTTCTGGTATTTAATGGTATTTAATTTATTATTTAAGTGCATTTTATTTGATTATGTGTCATTATTTTTTTTTATTAGGTGCTTAATTATTTTCTTTTGTGGTGATTTAATTTATTTAAATGATATTTATTTTTAGTTATTTGATTGGAATTACTTGTTAGTGTTTTAATTATTTAATTGGCATTAATGGTTTAAGTGTAATTGGTTTAGTTATTTGATTGGAATTACTTGTTAGTGTTTTAATTATTTAATTGGCATTAATGGTTTAAGTGTAATTGGTTTAATTATTTTATGTGTATCTTATTTAGTTTAATTGGAAAAACTAATTATTATTTTGTTCAATTAGATTATTTGTTAAGTATTTAATGGTGAATAGGGTAATTAGGTAAATACATCTAACTAGGGTTTTAATTACAGTATAAATTAGGGTTTTATATTATAGCCGTCATAGTTTTCTACGTTAATTGGATGGGCCGGTTAGGATTGTGAGTTGGACTTAAATGAACTTAGGGTTTAGGAAAACTCTATAAGTATAAGGTAGACGTCTGTGTAGGGTTTTTTTTAAACAAAGCACACGTTTTGTGGAAGTGGAGAAGGAAAAACGCAGTTTTTCACATTCTGCCAAGGTTTGATCAAAGCTCCGATCCCGCTTCGTCCATGGTCCGATCGAGCTGAATTTTGGAGGAGAGGTTCACGACTCAGTGACGCACAATCTGAACGGTGGAGATCAGAGTTTGACCTCAGGAACAGTGATTCGAACTCGTGAACAGTAACTGGGTCGCATAGGTTTTTTTCTATTTTGCCCAGATTTCATCAAACATCCGATCCCACTTCGTCCGTGGTTCGATCCAGCTGAATTTTGGAGGAGAGGTTCACGACTCCGTGACACACAATCTGAACGGTGAAGATCAAAGTTTGACCTCTGGAACAGTGATTCGTACTCATGAACAGTAACTGGGTCTCACAGGTTTTTTTCCATTCTGCCCAGATTTCATCAAACATCCGATCCCGCTTCGTCCGTGGTCCGATCGAGCTGAATTTTGGAAGAGAGGTTCACGACTCAGTGATGCACAATCTGAACGGTGAAGATCAGATTTTGAGTTCGAGAATAGTGTTTCGTACCCGTGAACAGTAACGGGGTTTTGGAACTCGCCGGGATTTTTTAAGAAGACGACGTTGAAACTTTGAACAAAAGTTTCTGAGGCAAGATTCTATCCTTACTCTTTCCCTTAGGCTTCATACTCTTTGCACTCTTAAATGATTCCAGGATTAATGAAGAGTAAACCAAACTAAAATAATATCTGTTTTGCTATGAAACTGGTAGTTACAGTAGTGTTGTATGCTTGTTCAACCTAGACTAAGCATGTTTGTGGATGTATTGTGGTTCTGTGGTTCACGTTTTTTCTTACCACTGCTAGTATAAATTATTGGAAGGATGGGTCTAGATGATAGCTATCTTAACTTCTGTAATAGCAACTGTTGGAACTTAAATACTAGGAGGATTTGAGTTTAACACTAGATCGGTTTTGTGGAACACTATAATTTGAGCATGTCTACATACATACTGTGAATATTGTTTTGATGCTTACAGTATCACAGTTAGTATCAACTGTGGAGGTTAGGATTTTGTGATACATACCCTACATATCTGTATGTCATTTGTAAGGTGTTAAATGAAAGTTTTAATTAATTCTGTCTTTATATCAAAGTAAAGGGAACAACTTAAATTGGGCATGTATATGTTGTTGTTGTGACCCTGTTTATCAATGTTTATTTTATCATTGCTAACATTGAATGTTGGATGTTGGAATTTAGTTGATATATACTTGATTTATTGGTATTATTGATTACTGGAGGATTGGAAAGTAGGCACCGGTATGGGACGGTGGCATAGTAAGGATGGGTTTGGTTGTTAAATCAATACCATTACCCACCTACTTGGAATAAGAATGGAATTAACTAAAAGTTAAGTCCCGTGGATTTGTATTGTCATGGCAACTACTTGTTGAGTGGCAATACCAGGAATTTTGGATGGATTTTATATATGTACTGTTATGGTGCCTCGGTATGAGCTTGAGCCTCAGGACCGATGGCTAGGGAGCGTATATGCATCGGGATGTGTAGCTGGCTACGATGGTTGGAGGTGTACCCTGTTTAGGTATAGGTACATATGCCCACTTCGTGTGCGTTTTAGCATGTTACCTCTATTCAGGTTGAGACCGACCTGTAGTCTAGTGAGAGTCCTTTAGTGTGACTATATATATATTTACGGACTATTAGCTATTGTTGAATTGTTTAGGATGTACATGCGTATCGGGCCTCTGTTTGGATTATAGTAGTATAGAATTTGCGCGTGGGCCTGACCCACTTCTATTTTTCAGGTACACGACAGTTCCAGGCTTAGACGTGTTCGTGCTGAGCAGAGGTCTTTATTCACTCTTCCGACGATGTAGGGCTCTCTCTATAGTTTTATTTCTGGACGTTTATTACATTTGTTCTATCTTCCGTTTGGATGTTTAATAGGGGTCCACTAGAGATGGATTCCCAAGTTGTAAACTGATGGAGTTTTGGAGTTTGGGTTTGATGGATTTTAATAATTATAATATTTTGCGGATTTTATTTTGTATTCCTTCCAGCTTTAATTTCATTTCTTAATTTATTTTGTATTCCGTGTTCATTATAAAATATTAATTGTTTGATATTCCCTCGGGTTTGGGCCTGGGCCTGATCAACCCGTGTCTCGGATCTGAGGGGTATCTCAGTTTTGTATATGGAGTTCATGGTTATGTGTATATGTGATTTGTGTTAAAAGCATACTTAAATGTTGATGTTCCATATTTATTGTGAAGTTCATGAATTCCATATATATATATATATATATATATATATATATATATATATATATATATATATGTTGATTTGGGTTACAAGTATACATAAATGTTGATTTTTATATGCCTATCATGCTAGATCTCGATTGTATGAAAGCATGTTGTAGTTTTACTTGAAAATTTTTGTGAATCTTGCTATATTAATTAAATTTGAGTTAGTTATGGAATGATGAACTTGGACATGGCATGATGCATCCATGCACTAGCATTGGGCATGAAATGGGATTAATGTGATTTGAAATGAAAAAGGGGAATTTTGAGAAGAAGTTTTGATTAAAATGGTTTTGAGAAAACCCGATCGCCGCGGGTTACTAAAGGGCCGGTGTGTTAATATAGCCTAAAGGAAATTAGGGAGATTGCCCAAGCGTGGTTGAGCTAGCTGGGCACAAAATGACGCCGCGGGGGTACCAAGGGTCAGGGATACTAGCCAATCCTTCTCTTATGTTGTTGCGGTGTCACCAAAGGGCGGGTTATATTAAGAATTTGAAAGTGATGGATTTGAATGTTGAAAATGGGGAGCGACATCGGCATGCATTGCATTTCACAACATTATATTGTGTATTCTGAGATTGGATTTAATGTTGCACGTTTCCGACATAGTATGACTCCGATTCCTATTGTCCTGTTCCTTTTTTGGATTCACGGGGACACAAGAGATGTGTCTTAAGCACCACCTACTGAGCAATTTTGCTCACCCATATTATTTAACATTTTTCAGGGCTCAAAAAAGAAGTGGCGAATGACAGTCCACTACAAGCTTGAAGAAGATTAGGAGTTGTATTTTGTTATCTTTTGTATCTTAGCCCTTTTTTTTGGTATTGTCTCAAACTATGTAAAAGAGTATTTATTTTTGCAAATCATGGCCCTGTAACATAACTAAGATACTTGATTATTTTTGTTGTAAACTGAGACCATGTAAATGCTTAAGTTGAGAGGGGATGAAGATGATGGGCTAATTTGGGAAGGTTGTTGATGTTGTGGTATTGGGGAATGTATTATATTTCTTTTGTATTGTGTGTTGGGGCAGGTTGGATAGGTCTTGAAAGGTCGTTTTTTTTTTTTTTCATTTAAACAGGTTGTTGTAGGACGATTTTTAGCGGAGGTTATGTCGAAATTTTTTTAAATTTTTTTTATTATTTTTGGTATTCAGTTTAGGATCGTTACAAATACAATGTGATCGAAGCAGCAATTGAACCCGAAGTAACACTAATAGAACCAGAAAACTGCAACTTGATCAAAGAAAGAATCAAACCCGAAGTAACGCTCATGCAACAAGAAGATTGCAACTTGATCACAGAAGGAATCAAACCGGACCCAATGGTCTTGCAACCAGAAGACTGCAACGATTGGTTGAACAATTTTGCCAAACAACTCCTCCAAAATCAAGAAGAAATACAAGAGGGTGATGAAACAGTGTTGCTGCCAAATATTTTTTGTGGTGATAATTGGTGCTTCTTGATTTAGGATATCAAATCTACAATAGTCTAGGAGTATGTTGCCACGTTGTACCATTCGCTCTCTATTTCTTGTGGTATTGTAGACTTGTTTTCTTGATTTAGACTCTGAATTGCATCCTCCTTTTAATTGTGGTAGGGTTTATGGAACTTAAATTTAATGAAAATATAATTTGTTAGATTTGGTTTGATAATCATTCTTGAGTCTCTCTTCCCACTTTCACCACTGGATCCATCAGTGGTGGTTTTGAATCACAATGAAATGAATGGTACCAGTTTGATGCAAACAGGAAGTGATCTTTTTCGTTCAATAATGTTTTCAAGGATGGACATCCCACTTCCACAATCACACCATCACCTTAATCAGAAAGGCTTCACAGGTTTAACCAGAAGTTTATGTAACATGCGAGTAATTTTTTTACACAGAGAGAGAGAATCGCGAACCACGGTATATTCCAAGCACCATCTGTAGGTGTTTAGGCCACCTTAATTGAGATAATGCACGATCAATGGAAGTACACAATTCTTCTCCAACGCTAAAACTACAAATAGCTGTAATTTTGATAGAACATAAAGATGCAGGTCTGTAGAGAAATCAAGGTCCCCCAATGTCACTAGCAAAGTATGGGTGCTTCAGTGCATCAAAAGCTGTAATTCTTTCTCTTGGGTTGTAGCAAAGCATTTTCTGCGTATCAAAAGCCATGGTATGAGTATTAACAAAGTTAAAATTTTGTAGCTGAACGTGTAAAGCTAATTTTTTATTTTTTATTTTCTTAGACAAAAGATGCTTTAAAATCATCTACTTTATATTTAATGAACTATTTGCCCAATTGTCATAATTAGATATGCCGGTGTCCATCTTAAAAGCTGCTAATCCCAAGTGGCCACGGGACAAGCTTCCTATGAGTTGCTATACTACATTGCTAATCAATAATTTGCAGCCAAATGAATTCTTGGCTCCTCAGGACAGAGCTGAGGCCTTCTAATTTCCACTTAATTACAATGAGGAGAAACTTACAGAAAGAAGATCCACTCCAGCTGGTTCAAGATTCGGAACTACTTCTGCCAGATTCTGCATCCAGAAAAAAAAGAAAAAAAGTAAATATATTTCTAACATTCTGAAGCAGGAAAAATAAAACCACAACCAGAACCTGTACTACCTTAGGAGGAGTATTCTCAGCAATACCCAAAAACTGACAATATTCAGTCACCTCAGGCCAGGTTTGTCCATCAGGTATGCCCAATAAGCTTCATTGGAACCAAGAAGTAGTTAGTATTGCACCATTAGTAGGCATTAAGATGCCAACAATCAGTTGCTGTACATGTGGGAGTGTCCAAATAATATACCACCTGAACATTTCGCGTAAAAGTTCAAAATGATCTGAAACATTAAACAGAGGCTCCTGGTTACACATCTCAGCAAATATGCATCCCACAGACCACAAATCAGCTTCGGTGGAGTATATGAAGCCATTTAAGATTTCAGGTGCCATGTAAATTAGAGTTGCTATCTGAAGTGAAACACAAACAATATGAGAACATAGACAGCAAATGCCCCTTCTTGAATTGAATGGATAAAATTGAGAATTTTTCTGCTTCAAAGGGAACCTAGAGAAGGCCATGGAGAAAAAATATGGTTGCACTAAAAACAAGCTCAAGTGTTATCACCTCCTCCTCCCACCTGGGAGGTTGAGGGTTAAAATCTTCATAGAGGCAACAGTGGGTGTTTGTCTAAACTAGAGAGAGAGAGAGAGAGAGAGAGAGAGAGAGAGAGAGAGAAATTTACAACAAAATGTTATGTATATCTATTAGGGTCTGGTTAAAATTCAAAAGACGTCCAGACAAGCCCCATATCAAGTAGCCCCACAATTTGCTAATAAAATATGTAGCCTACTAAAACCTATTCTTGTTTCCCCAATTCTAAAAGAGGCCACTAATATGAATTCATTTCCAAGTACAGAGGTTAAAGACAACATAACATGCACACCAAGTGTCACTAAATTCCTTGTTTAAAAAAAATAGAAGTAATGCAATTTTTATTGAAATTTATCGGACGACAGTTTCTAATAGAATATATTATAAAAGAAAATACTGAAACATCATCTGAGGTGCAATGCAACCTACAAATGATTGAGTTTCTAGCCCACAAAGCTCATAGTGATAAGCTCGGACGTAAAGCTCAAAAAATCCAAAAGGCTGAGACAGTGAAAGGTGAATATTGGCACCTCGTCTCCTCCAGTATATTTAGTGAGAGGAACACCAACTGCCCTGGCTGATCCAAAGTCTGCAGTCTTCAGGATTCTTTCACTGGAGTTTATCAGCAAATTCTGTGGTTTAAGATCTCGGTGGACAATTTTGTAAGAATGACAATAGGCAAGACCACTGAGTATCTGATGCAGAAACCTCTGCGAGGAAAAAGAATATGAGAAAGTAAATCATGAAAAGCAAGGGCCAATCAAAAGCAAAAACTACGTAAATGTTAGTGGTACTTAATAGGGCATTAAGATGCTATATGAAAATTAAATCATCTCATATGTTTTGTATGGCATATGAAATATCTTTTCCTTTTGTTACGGTTGTACTAGTCTATCAGTACTTGTTTTACAATTTTTTTTTTTTTTTTGGGTAAGCTACTTGTTTACATTTTAGTCAGGTTAGAATTTCACCCACAGTTCTTGTTCTACATACGTACATTGTAGTCATTTCAGTTTCACATGACTAATATGCGTTAAAATGCTTTGGAAAGAAACATCAATTGAGACCAATTGAGTATATCCAAAAAACCTAAAAAAAATATTCTACTAAGTTGCCTAGATTTCACCAATCCACATAAAAAAAGAAAAAAAGAAAAGCAAAAGTTACTTTGATTTCAGAAATATGTCTAACTAAATACATGTGCTAACATAGTACACAATAATTACAAATATTGAGGTCAGTATGAGTCAAGATGCAAACATCATTACACTTACCCATGAATAGTTTGGTAAAATAGTTCAGATGGTTGATAAAATTTATCATGTTCATTGTAGCAACTAAGCTTATAAGCTACAGAGTAAAAGAGTAATAATTTTGAAATTATTTTACATATTATCAATATGGCAAATCTCACCCACTTTTATAACAGGTGGATCCTTGGCAGTCTCTGAATGAGTATCCATGAACATCTTCAGATCAACATCCATATGCTCAAAAACGAGATACACTTTATTGGTTCCATTCTCTACAGTGTTCAGTACATCTAACAACCTGTTAGCCAAAAGTCCATCAATTGATTTATTAGGGTAAATCCAAGGTGTACATAAAGTTAACAGCTAAAAACAGCCAGTGACACAAAGTCAAGAGCCAACTTACAGATCCGTAAAACCAGCATCATAATAAGGGTTTCAAGGATTTTACTCCCAATATATAAGACTTTGTTTCATAAAATTGCTGATATTATTTCAGTGTGCAAACATGCAGGTTCAGGTAATGATTTTGCAAATGCATATGGTGTTTCCTGCTGAAAGTAAAACATAGGAAGGAAAATTTTCCAAAACTTCATCATCATATGAACAAGATATAACTATCAAAATCAAAACTAATAGTTAGTGAATTCTTTATAGTTATACGAAATCATCATTTACAAACAAAATTTTTATATCACAAAACATAAGCCTGAGCAGTATGATTTATCGTGTTGGCTTAAAGATGCTAGCGCCTCATTATGTTGTTTAGAAATGTATACACATGAGCAAGACAGTTCACCAAGTGGCACCAATCATCAATTTATGATGGCTTCCTGTCTTTAACTCAAAAGAGAATGGATTCCCAAGCTCAACATTTAGAATTGGCAGATGTAAGGTGGAGATGACTGAAACTATTCTAACTGAACCTGAGAAATAGGCAAGTAAAATTATCATCTACAATATTAATACAAGAGTTGGGATCCACTATCAAAGGAAAGGATTTTCATACAAGAGATGAAGTCCACCATCAATTCGTGTCACGAAAAATTTTGTGGGTTAAAATTAACACGTTATTGGAGTCTGCCATGTATCCAGAGGGGACTAGTTTCATCAAAAAAGGAAGAAATAAAAGAAAATTCACCATCAATACACATCCATGTTTCATCAATCATACCATGAAAATTGATAGCTTCCTACCAATCATATCTTGTAGATATATATTTCAGCATTATTTAAGACTATAACATAGCCATCAATACACATCCATGTTTCATCAATCATACCATGAAAATTGATAGCTTCCTACCAATCATATCTTGTAGATATATATTTCAGCATTATTTAAGACTATAACATAGCCATCAATACACATCCATGTTTCATCAATCATACCATGAAAATTGATAGCTTCCTACCAATCATACCTTGTAGATATATATTTCAGCATTATTTAAGACTATAACATAGTTTTTATAAACTGTTCTATCTACATTCAGCAGAAATGAATGGAGGTAGGTGTTTTTGTTTCTTTTCTTTTTTGGTTTCACATAAGAAGGGAGGTTAGTGTTACCTCATACACAATCTGAATGCGATTGAATTTAATTATCTTTTCCTAGGTTGACGTTAATTTGGAAAATGAGAGAAGTGAGTGTTGTGATCAGATACCTCATGCAAGGTACTGTTATTTTTCCAATTTTAATCTTTAGTTATTATATTTTATTATTTCATCTTATAATTTGTAATTTGTAACTCTGTAAACCTAAAGAAATATTGGGGGAGTTACTACCTGACAATATTGCTATGTTCCATCCCTCTCAACAAAGAGATTTCTCTGATTGTTGAACTCGACACACCTTCAAATATGTCAAAAATATTAATCTTTTTTAAAGCTACAGTTTCCTTTGTCTCACGGTGAAAGGCCTTGAAAACCAACGCAAAGCCTCCAGCTCCAATTTTCTCAAGTTTCTCGTACTGTCAATTCATCATCATTGTGAGATTCTAGAAGCAAAAACTAATGGAACAATTTCAGATAAGACAAACCAAATTATAGTTTTTACCTTCTCCATACAATCAGGTCTCTCTGCCCTGCCATAGAAAGAAATATAAAGACAATAATTTAGATTTTACAGAGATGAAAACACATCGTAAAAAAATAAAAATCATAATCTGTAGAGTAATTGTCTTATGACTATGTTTGAGTTGTTTATGGAGGTCAGTTTCTTGGCAACAGTAACCAAAGCAAGAACATACATATATCTCAAGCAACGTTTTGTTCAATTGAATTTAATTTCCCTCCACTCCATGACTTCCAGCTTACTCAATTCGACAGATCCTTATTCCTCTTACTTTGGCCCAGCTATACAGCCTACGCGGATCATGTTTCTGTTCCGTCAAGGACCAGCAACAGAGACCATCTATTATTCTAGATTCTAACTATACAAATGAAACTAATAAAAGCTCGTATAGATGATGAACACATTTGTGCTTAATGTGATATAAATTAATTTCTTAATTAACGTATACCACGTATTGTAAGAGCCATTTTCAAAGAATACTGGAACTAAGAATCAAATTAATCTTGTAACCTAGTTTATGGGCACCATATTGTCTCTTGACACTTCCTTGAAGTGTTGCCCCTTCATTGCAAAGTGAAAAACAAAGGTCTAGATTTAAAATCAGGTCAAGAACCATGTTAACCTATATAAAATGCAGATTTCTACACTATGTTTGCATGGTTATTATGAACATAAAGCTATGTTTTGGAGCACCGAATCACTGATTCGGTACTCCCAAATGCAACATAAACACTTCTGGAATGTTTCATTTGGGGACTTCAAGATGCATATCAAAGGGATATCAAGAAACTTCAAAGAAATCCAACACCGCAGTCAGCATAAATTCAAAGTCAGATCCTTCAATTAACTCCCTCACACTCACACACTCACGCTATATATATATATATATAGACACACACACACACATATATATCACACAATTTGAAAGTGTTGAATATCGAAATTAACACTCAAATTCTAAAACCAGAATCAGTAAACAATATTTGAGATTATTAGGGCAAGAAACCATCATTGTGTATGGTCAGTGAAATCATCAGATTTTCAAACCTCAAAATCTTGAATACAAATTAAAATAACGAATTAAAGAAAACAGAAGAAAATAAGATCATTCATTCTTAAAGACGCGTATCAAAGAAATCAAACATGTCGCAGTCAGATAAATAAATTCAACGTTAGATCCTTCAATTAACTCCCTTACACACACACACTATACTACGCACTCTGAAAATGACATCTTACAACACGGAGAGAATTACTAATTTCAAATCTGTTGAAGAAGATCAAATCTAACACTCAAATCCTGAAACCAGAATCAGAAAACTATAGCTAGGGCAACAAATCATCATTGTGTACTGTCAGTGAAATCATCAAGATTTTCAAACCCTCCAAATCTTGAATACAAATTAAAACAAAGAGGTAAAGAACATCGAAGAAAAGAAAACCACTCACTCTTAAAGTGATGATGACTTACAGAAAGAGATGTATCTGATTCGCTGATGATATATTGAAACTTCTCCAACAGCCAAACTTCTCGAAGATGAGAGAGAGAGTTGTAGAGAGAGAAAGAGTGAGGTAATATGGTCGATATATATATATATATATATATATTATATGAATAGAGAGATATAGAGAGAGAATTTCTGTATTCTCAAATTCAGTTGGGCGGCAAAACAAGTGAAACGCCTCGGCGCGCCAATCTCTCTTCCGCAACCGTCATAATTAAAGTATTTTTTTTTTTTTTTTTGGATAAATTCCACTTACCACCCCTTAGATTTGTCAATATCCCATAAACTCCCTCTACAGACTCCTTGTAATCTCACTTATCTCCCCTGTAAGGCTATAACTATAAGTGACCCAATCAATGTGCTATTATACCGTTTAGCCCATGAAATATTTGGTAATCATTTCAGGCATTAGAAGGGCAAAATTGACCTTCTATCAATTTTCTCCTACTAACATCAACAAATTTCATACTTAAAATGAATGGAAAATATGTTATGTTAAGCATAACCTTAAAGAACGTGTGTGAAATTTACCGCCTTTTTTTTTGGAGGAGGGGGGTTGGTTAACGGAAAATGTTTCACTTATGTTTGATTTTTATTTATTTTTAAATTGAGATATTAGACAATATATGTTGACAATTTTTAAAAGCTAGGTTAAAAAGAGTGTATGGTTCTTCAAAAACATTTGTTATCTGGCTAATGATTTTTCGAAAACTAAACCAAAATGACGTAGTTTCAATGCACAGGATCCCCTCCATAATGGCTTTGGTTTATCAAGCACATTGAGACTAACCTCAACAATGGCCAACAAAAGCCTTTCTATCTCTATTTATGCACAGAATCTGACCTTTAGTATCATTTGTGTAAAAATGACTGCACTCAACAATGTATTGGCCAAATAAATAAAGCATGTACGTGTATCCCTTCCAAACTCACCACCACCGCTTTATTCTAGTCCGATCTGTTTTCCTGTCCGACGTTACTCTGCCACCTCCACCTTCTGCTCTTGGGATGCATTAGAAATACACTTTGCCACACGGGAGAACTTTCAGACTGCATTACTTTCTGGCTCATTTTCAGCATGTTGCAGCTCCACTACTAGGTATGAAGTAAAAGTGGAACCTAATGGTCTCTCAAGAACAATACTTAGAAGACTTAAGTCTCTTTGTTTTTCACACTTTGAAGATTTAATCTTGAATTTTCTTCTGTCTCACAAAATTGATATCGAACACCGGCTAATGGTTAGTTCTGCCAAGACTAACCAACAAATTGAGAATCCCTACTTCATTTGAACAGGTAACAAACGAAAGATGCACCACAAATGTATTATTCACATACAAAGTAATGATCCATTTACAAGCAGTATCTATAGGTGTTCAGACCGCCTTAATGAGAAGATTACGCAACATATGAATCATTTCCTCAGACCGGAGGGAGAGTAGCAACTAGCAAACCAAGGTATTTACCAAGCACTATCTATTGGTGTCAGGCCACTTACAATGAAAAATACACAATCAATGGTACACAATCAATGGTACACAATCTTCTCGAACACTAAACCACAGATTGCTGTAATGTTGGTATAGCAGAAAGATGCAGGTCTGTAGAGGAATCAAAGTGTCTCAACGCCAGAAAAGTACGGGTGATTCAGTGCATCATAAGCTGTGATTCTTTCTCTTGGTTTGAGGCGAAGCATTTTCTGCGTATCAAAAGCCATGGTATCAGTTTTAAGAGTTAAAATTTTGTAGCTAAACTTGTAAAGGGCAACTTTTTCGATTTTCTTAAACAAAAGATATATTTAAGGAACCATTTACCTAATTGTCATAATTAGATAAGCCGGTATCCATCTTAAAAGCTGCCAATCCCATGTGGCTATGGGATGTTGGTTAAAAGAAAGAGTATTAAGCTTCATCTGAGTAGCTCTACTCATCAATAGTTTGCACCCAAGTGAATTCTTGGTTCCTCAGGACAGAGCTGAGGCCTTCTAATTTCCACTTAATTATAATGACGAGAAACTTACAGAAAGAAGATCGACTCCAGCTGGTTCAAGATCGGGAACTACTTCTGCTAGATTCTGCATGCAGAAGAAAAGGAAAAAAAGTAAATATATTTCTAAGATTCTAAAGCAGGAAAAATATAAACCACACCCAGAACCGGTACTATCTTTGGCATATTCTCAACAAAACATAAAAATTGACACGATGAAGTCACTTTAGGCCAGGTTTGTTCATCTGGTATGCCCAATAAGCTTCATTAGAACCAAGATGTAGTTAGTATTGCACCATCACAAGGTATTAAGATGCGAACAATCAGTTGTTGTGTTGTGTGGGAGTGTCCAAATAATATAACACCTGAAAATTTTGCATGCAAGTTCAAAACAATCTGAAGTATCAAAGAGACGCCTGGTTACACATCTCAGCAAATGTGCATCCCACAAACCACATATCAGCTTCAGTGGAGTACATTAAGTCATTCAAGAGTTCAGGTGCCACGTACATTAGAGGTGCTAGAACAAAGACAGCAATTGCTAGTGGAAAATAAAGGTATCGAATGTGGTGTTAAAACCTGCTTAGACATAGTTCTTGCCGTTAAATCAAACAGGTTAATATTAAAAAATTATGTGTTGAAAATTTGATAAGGTGTGGGCCTCTTTGGACGCCCCTTCTTGAATTGAATGGCTCCATTTAAGTTTTTTAATGTATAAAATTGATAAATAATGTATAACATCATGAATTTTTCTGCTTAAAAGGAAACCTAGAAAAGACCATGGAGAAGAAATATGGTTGCACTAAATATAACTCCGAACCTTTAGCTTAAGTGTTATCATATCCTCCTCCCACTTTGGAGGTTGAGGGTTCAAATATTCATAGAGGGAATACATGGAGTTTGTCTAACCCATGAGAGAGAGAGAGAGAGAGAGAGAGAGAGAGAGAGAGAGAGAGAGAGATTTACAACAAAATTAATGTGATGTAATATCTAATAGGTCTGATTGAAATTCAAGAGACATCCAGACAAACAATATATCAAGCAACTGACAATTTGCCACTAAAAAAAGAAAATGCAACCCACTAAAACCTATTCTTGTTTCCCAATTCTAAAAGCAGCAAGTAATAGGAATTCATTCCAAGTGCAGAGGTTATAGACAACATGCACAACAGGTGTCACTAAATTTCTTGTATTCAACAAAAAGAAAGTAGAAGTAATGCAATTTTTTATTGACATTTATCCAATAACTGTTTCTATTAGAATAAGTTATACAAGAAAATAGTGAAACATCATCTGAGATGTAACCTACAAATGATTCAGTTTCTAACCCACAAAGCTCATAGTGGTAAGCTCAAACTTATAACTCAAAAATCCAAGAGAATGCTGAGACAGTGAATGGTGAATATTAGTACCTCTTCCCCTCCGGTATATCTTTTGAGAGGAACACCAACTTCCCTGGATGATCCAAAGTCTGCAAGCTTCAGGATTCTTTTATTGGAGTCTATCAGCAAATTATGTGGTCTCAGATCTCGGTGAAGAATTTTGTGAGAATGACAATAGGCAAGACCACAGAGTAAGTGATGCAGAAACCTCTGCAGGGAAAAAAGAACATGAGAAAATTAATAGGGCATTAAGATGCTAAATGAAAATTAAATATGTCTCATATGTTTTATATGGCATATGAAATATTCTTTTCCTTTTGTTATTGTTGAACGAGTCTATCAGTACTTGTTTTACATTATTATTATTATTTTGGTAAGCTACTTGTTTACATTTTAGTCAGGTTAGAATTTCACCAACAGTTCTTGTTCCACATACATTGTAGTCATTTCCGTTTCCCATGACTAATATGTGTTAAAATGCTTTGGAAGTAAACATCCAAATAACCTAAAAAAAAAAAAAAAAAAGAGGAAAAATGCTAGTAAGTAGCCTAGATTTCACCAACCAACAGAAAACAATAACTTTGAAATCATTTACATATTATCACTATGGAAAATCTCACCCACTTTTATCACATGTGGATTCTTGGCAGTCTCTGGACAAGTCCGCATGAACATCTGCAGATCACAATCCATATACTAAAATATGAGATACACTCTTTTCGTTCCATCCACTTCAGTGTTCACTACATCCTACAACCTGTTAGCCAGAAGCTCATCAATTGATTTGTTAGATTAAATCCAAGATGTTCATAAAGTTAAAAGCTCAACACAGCCAGTGACTCAAAGTCAAGAGTCAACTTACAAATCTGTAAAAACAGTATCAGAATCTGAATTTCATATCCCATATTCTGAGTTTCAAGAATTTTACTCTCAATATATATAACTTATTGTTTCATAAAACTTCTAATATTTTTTCGATGTACAAAGATGGAGATTTAGGTTATGATTTTGCAAACGAGTATGGCATATCCTGTTGAAAGTAAAACATATGTATGCAATTTTTCAAAACTTCATCATCATATGAACAAAATATAACTACCAAAATCAAAACTCAAGCCCTTGTTGGCGTAATCTTTATAGTTCTAAGAAATCATCCTTTTCAGACAAAATTTATATCACAAAACATAAGCCTGAGCTTGATTCATCGTGTTGGTATAAAGATGGTAGTGCCTCGCTATGTTGTTTAAAAATGTATACAGATGAGCAAGACAGTTCACCAAGTGGCTCCTATTATCAATTTATGATAGCTTCCTGTCTCTAACTCAAAAGAGAACAGATACCCAAGCTCAATATTTAGAATTGGCAGATGTAAGGTGGAAATGACTGAAACTATTCTGACTGAACCTGAGAAATAAGCAAGTAAACTTGTCAACTATAATATTAATTTCTTAGATGCTTGTTGAAAAGGCTTTCATAGAAGAATTGGGATCCACCGTCAAAGGACTTTCATACAAGAGATGAAGTCCACCAACATTATGTGTCACAAATTTTTTTCCTGGATTCAAATTAACACATGGCACTGGAGCCTGCCACGTATCCAGAGGGGACTAGTCTCACCCATCTGGTGGAGATGCCCCTCTAGTCATCCAAAAAAAAGGAATAAAGAAAAGAAAATCCACCATTAACATGCATCCATGTTTCATCAATCATACAATGAATATTGACGGCTTCCAACTAATCATAGTTTGTAGATATATATTTCAGCTATATCTGACTAGTGCAGTCGTTTACATAAAATATGCATTCAAGATTATAGTATACTTCTCTGAACTGTTCTTTTGAGTAGATCTCTACCATGATTTGACTTTCAGAAATATTTAGGTTACCAACATTAAACTGTTCTCTAAGCCACAAATTTGCAGAACATATTCATTCTATTGAATGTTTATTAGGCCAACTATATTGTACGGAGCAGAGCATTGGGCATTGAAAAAGAAACAAGAGCAATGGATTCATGTAGCGCAAATGAGGATGCTACGATGGATGATGGGAGTAAATAGAAGAGATAAGATTAGTAATGAATTGAGTAAATAGAAGAGATAAGATTAGTAATGATGATGAGGGTGAACATTAAAAATGTTCTTTAAGCCACAAAGTAGCAGAACATGTTCATCATACTACATTATCCTATTTGTTGCTATTCTCCCTTCACCTTACACAATAATGACTACTGAGTTTATTAGCAAGGAAGAAACAATCTAAATTAAAATGGTTTCAAAAAAACATATTGTACATTCATCTCTGCATTCACTAGAACTGAATGGGGTAGGCATTTTTCTTTCTTTTCTTTTTTGTGTACACATAAGAAGGGAGGAAAGTGTTACCTCATACACAATCTGAATGAGATTATTTTTTTCCTAGGTTAACATTAATTGGAAAAATGAGAAAATTTAGTGCTATAATCAGATATCTCATGGGAGATTTTATTATTTTCCCAAGTTTAATCTTCAATTATTATATTTCATAATTTCAACTTATAATTTGTAGTTTGTTACTCTGTAAACCAACAGAAATATTGGGGGAGTTACTACCTGACAATATTTGCTATGATCCATCTCTCTCAAAAAAGAGATTTCTCTGATTGTTGAACTCGGGACACCATCAGATTCGTCATTAATATCAAACTCTTTGACAGCAACAGTTTCATTTGTCTCACAATTGTGGGCCTTGAAAATCCAAGCAGTCAGACACAAATTCAAAGTCAGATCCTTCAATTAACTCTCTCTCTCTCACACACACACACCACACTATATCACACACTGTGAAAGTGTTGAATATCGAATCTAACACTCAAATTCTGAAATCGTTTTCAGTAAACAAGATCTGAGATTGTTAGGGCAAGAAATCATCATGGTGAGTGAAATCATCAGATTTTCAAACCCTCAAAATATTGAATACAAATTAAAATAATGAATTAAAGAAATCAGAAGAAAAGAAAATCATTCACTCTTAACTACGCGTATCAAAGAGATGTCAGACTCAGAACCTTCCAAGAAATTGAACATGTTGCAGTCAGACATAAATTCAAAGTCAGATCCTTCAATTCTGAAACACGAAGAGAATTTCTTATTTTGAAACTGTTGAATTTCGAATCTACCACTCAAATTCTGAAACCACAATCAGTAAACAAGATCTGAGATTGTTAGGGCAAGAACTAATCGTTGTGCATGGTCAGTGAAATTTTCAAGCCATCTCAATGCTCAATGCTCCCGTTATAACGGTTGTCGTAGACAAACTCAATAAGCGTGATACACTATTGTTGTATTGTTGTAGACAAACTTAAAATTTGAATGGTACACTTCGATTGGCCTTTTAAAACACAATCACTAAATTGGGTTGGTGTTTATGTGTTTATGAAATAAATAAATAAAAGTTTTTGGCGTTTCTCTTATTCAGTAATATTATGAACTATTTTAGCATATAGAGTCTTTCTTTTTTTTAATTAAATAGGACTTTCAAGCTGTTCGTTGTTAGCATTTCAAACATATTTTGGCTCTTTGGAGTATAATGATTGGGTTTACATGGCGTCCCTGACTACCAGCTGTGAGATTTTGATTTTTCTAATGAATTTTCATTATAATAGCAAAAATAAAAACAATAAAAGAGAAATAATAATAATAATAATAATAATAATAATAATAAGATCAACAAAAATACTCTGAATCACCCCGTCAACCAAAAGATTCCAAAGCAAAGCTGCATCAATGATAGATGAACAACATTTTTAAATAAACATATGTATCTACCCCAAGGTAAACTGAGTTTGGCCAAGTGACATACCTACACTGTGTATGAATTAAATGTTAAGCGCAAAAAAATCTCTCTATTATTAATATAGTACGTATAGTTCTTGTGTAATAAAAAAATTCCTTATACTATTAATTTAGTGTAAATAAATCTGTATAATATAAAATGACGATAATACTCTCACTTCTGTTGAATAAATTAATAATTATAAATAAAATATATGTAAAATGACCCTCTTATCCACTTATAAAAAAAGAAAAGAAAGAAAAAAAAAAAAATACTTTATCTTAATTTTTCTTAAAATATCCGCCTCCAAAACCAATATCTCTTTTCTTATCCGGGCATTAGAAGGATCTTGAAAGCAGACACATAGGCGTTAGGAAGGAAGAGAAGGACGAACCGTAGGTGAGAACCAGTTCAAGGCGAAGCCATTGACCTACAAGACATAGATCCCAGGGGTGAGACGGCAATATCAAGATATTTATTTTCTTGATGCTGCACAGCGAGTCCTTCCGAGCCCACCTGCCGTTCTCATCTATTCGACCTCCGGCGAGCAAGGAAGCTCCGGCCAAGCCATCAAACACACTGAAACCTCATATATAACTCTCCTCTCATCTTCATCTCTTTCAATTTTTCTCTCATCTCATCTCATCTCATCTCTTCATGTTATATATATATATATATATATATATATATATATATACACATATATATATAGACCTAGGGTTTGAAGAGCATAAAATTGGGAGTTTTGATTTAAAGTAAAAATTGCATAATTGTTGGGTCGCATTTGCAATTGGGGGTTTGATGTATCAGACCCTTTTTTGGGCAACAATCAAGTCTGTTTCTTCTTCAGTTATGCCCGGTGTGAAGCGAAGACAGGCTTTTCTTTATTAGCAGTACGGAAAAGAGACTAAAATGAATAGGTCGGGTATAAAATCTCGGGCACCTGAACGAGCTTAAAAGCTTACTTCAGTTCCGGTTCTGAACGCAATGGCTGGACGAGACTACTTGGACTTGGCTCTGTTACAAAAAGAATAAATGTAAGCTTGTGACTGGCTTCGGTGATTCTGGAAGAGGAATAGGTCTTCTCAATAGAAGATAAGCGGGCAGATTGGAGGAGGAGGAGGAATGCATATATTAGAAGAGAGAAGAGAGAAGGAAAAGAAATAATAATAATAATAATAATATGGATTATATCCAAAATACATGTGCAGATATGGGTGAGGAGTAAGATGGGAATTAAAAGAATAAAATAAGATTTTTATTTTTATTTTTATTTTTGTAAAAAAGTGATGAGAGGGGTTTATTTAATTTTTTAAAATTTTATGTACTAATATGCATATTTTAAAAAAAAAGGAGGATTTTTCACAGCAACTATTCCACAAGCACTTCAAGAATGTGAAATTTAGTACGTATCCGATTATTCTTAGTACGTTTTTTTATTTTTATTTTTTTAATTATTTATTTTATTCTAATTTTTCTTTAAATTTTTAGAGACAACTGGAATTGCCGCTGTTACTGCGGTTTCAAAAGCAGCCGAAGCACCTTCGCCATTGAGATGAGTATGTGTGTATATATATATATATAAGTTTATTATTTTTTTGAATTTTTTAACTAAAATTAGGTATTAGCTGTGAAGGCCTGTGTAGGTGTGTTGTTGGTGTTACAAGCTTAAATTTTCATGCTTGATGTACTTTAATTATAGGACTGTTATGTGCATGCCTTCATGTGTTTACAAGTTGAGATTTTAACATCTACTTTAACGCTGTATTGTGCCTTACAAACTGAAATTGTGTTCCTTTGATTGTTGATAGTGTTTATTTGCATGAAATTGAAAATTTAAAAATTTTAAGTGTTGGTTGTAGTTTTACCCATTTATATAGGCACATTCCACTTGTTGGGAACTCGGGATGCATTACATTTAAAATATTCTCTTCTAGAATATAATTCTCTTCTAAGAACTCGGGATGCATTACATTTAAAATATTCTCTTCTAGAATATAATTCTCTTCTAAAGAACTTGGGATGTATGACATTTAAAATATTCTCTACTAAAGTATAATTCTCTTCTAAAATACTCTATATAATTCTCTTCTAAAATATACATTTAAAATATTCTATAAATTTCTACCACCTTTTCAAATCCTTCACAAATGCCACAAGTATGCAACAGGTAGTAATAACTTTGAAATTATTTTACATATTATCAATATGGCAAATCTCACCCACTTTTATAACATGTGGATCCTTGGTAATCTCTGAACAAGTATCCATGAACTTTTTCAGATCAACATCCATATACTCAAAAACGAGATACACTTTTTTTCATCCTTGATCTTCAGATGTAGTGAGTCCATCAATTTGTTAGGCTAAACCAAGATGTATAGTTTACAGCTAACACAGCTAGTGACCCAAAGTCAAGAGTCACTTGTAAATCCGTAAAACTCGTATCATAATCTGAGTTTCATATCCTATATTCCGAATTTCAAATTTTTTTACTCTCAATATGTATTACTAATTGTTTCATAAAATTGCTGAAAATTTTTCGGTGTGCAAACATGGAGGTGCAGGTTAGGATTTTGCAAACAAGTATGGTGTTTCCTGTTAAAAGTAAAACATATGTAGGAAATTTTTTCAAAACTTTATCATCATATGAACCAAATAAAAAACCAAAATCAAAACTCAAACCTTTGTTGATGAAATCTTTATAGTTATAAGAAATCATCCTTTTCAAACAAAATTTTTATACAACAAAACATAAGCCTGAGCATTATATCTATGGGATGTTGAAAGTTCTCTTGAAGACAATTTCTTATATCAGAGTAAAAGAGAGAGAGAGTTGTGGAGAGAGAAAGAGTGAGATAATATGTTCGTATATCTATGTGTATATATATGAAGATAAATGTAGAGAGAGAATTTCCGTAACCTCATTTACAGTTGGGCGGCAAACGATCTGAAACGGCCTCGCGCGCCAAAACGTCTTCTCCTGGTGTGTTAATTACAGGGCTAAAAGGATTGGGTTTGAGTTAATTTATCAATAATAATGGAAAATGTTGGGCTTATGCTTTTTTTATTTTTAAATAGACATAATCTGTTGACATTATTTGATTGACATTTGTTGAGAAAATTATAATTAAAAAAAAACTCTTTTTGAATGTTTTTAATATATAATAGTTTTTTGAAAACTGTTTTCTAAGTATTAAATCAAAATTATATAATTCCCTCTAAACAATTACAATATATATATATATATATATATATATATATATATATATAAAATAATTTTTTAAAACTTGAATCAAACAAGCTCATTTTATATATTTGTACGTTCTATGTCTTTATTATTTTTACATTTTGTGTATTCATTTGCACACTATATTGAAAATGCAAATTTTCTTTCTAAATCTTGTTTATAAGTTCTTTATATATAACCATGAAAGTTTTAAATTAAATGAAATGTTATCTTTTTCTAAAACGGAAGGTTGAGGGTTTTGACTCCCTTGTGCTTTTAAATTTATCTTTTAAGAAAATATTATTTATATATACTATAAATAAACAACATATTAAATTATATATTAAATTAATTGACACTGAATTGAGTGATTCCGTTAATCTCCTCGTTTATAATTTAAAATTATATTATTTCAAGAATTTATTCTTTAAAGTAAGTGAAGTTGAAATCAGACAATATTTTCTCTAATTTCTAATCAGACACTGAAATATTTTTTTATTTTTTATTTTTTATTTTTTTTTTGGGTTTCATTATTTTTATTGAAAAAGAGTCATTTTCGTATACTTTCTTTTTCCAATAAGCTATTAAGCTAATATAATTAAAAGTGACAAAAAAAAGTTTAAAGATCTTTTCTTTTTTTTTTTGGACTATTTGACTTGCCTCTACGTCACCAAGAGCCCTACAGCTTAGCCATATTTTCTCTATCTTTCAAAATGGTTAAACCAATTGCTAAGAAGGACTATGCGTTGCGTCTACATAATAGAACTGCAAGTTAGGCAAATCCAATCCAGCCCGATCCTGGCCCAACCTCAACCTGAAATTGGGTTGGGCTTGGCCAGCTCGAAGTTTGGCAAAAAACGAATTATGTCCATAACCCGAACCCAAATATTTGGACAGGTCGGGTGGTTTCACGGGTCTTTTTTTTTTTTTTTTTTTTTTTCAAATATGCTAATTACATTTTCATTTTTCCATTTGTAAACATTAAAAATTTTAAGAAAATTTTATTTTTCAATTCATTAATACTTGTCATTTTTCTTTTAATAAATACCTAGAAGTAGAAATGTAGAACATCCATAAGCATTCCAATTTTTTGTCAATTACAATTGAAAGAATACAAGAATTGTTTCTTTTGGGTAATTAAAAAAATATCTATACAATAATATGCAACTTTATAAATTTTTTATATTGTTTTTGAAACTCTTTTAATTTCATTTGATATTGGAATATCAATAAGAATAAAAAATAAAAAATAAAATAAAAAAGGTTAAAAACTAATCATTATTGTAATATATTAAATAAATTATATATAACTGCTATCGTATTTTATACCACAAATTTTCATTAACATTCGTATTATATCCATATACATATATATGCGCGTTTTTGTGACTTGCATTTTTTATGCTCGATTTTTAAACGTACTTTGTTTTATATATATATAAAAAGTTAATTATACTACCATGCAGCTTTGTTTACTGTACCATATTTAGCTACAATCCAAAGTTAACGGAAATGAATGTTTATCTTTCTTTTTTTTTTAATATTAACAAGATTTTCTATTTTGTCTTTTTATTTTTTCAGTCAATTAACAAGAATTTATTTCCTTTTTTTACTTAATTTTTCCTAAAATAACTGGAATAATTGGAAAAAGGCTTCCACGAAACAACGCAATGTTTGAGAGCTCGTTTAATTAATTTAATTCAACTAAAAATTACCAAAATTTGTTTGGTCCACAAATTTTGAAAACTCAATTAAGCAATATTACGGTATAATATATATATATATATATATATATATATATATATATATATATATATAAACAAACATATATTGTGTTATTGAGATATGATTTGAAAATTTAAAACCAAACAGGCCTTCAAACTTCACAAATAAACTTTCATTTGAGAAGCAGGTTTTTTTTTTTTTTTTTAATAAAACCCGACCCGATTTGAGTCCAATTACTGAATTTAAAAAGCCCAAGTTCTAAAATTTTTGGGCTATATTCGGATTGGCCTGGATTAGCCCGCCCAAATTGCACCCCTACTAGTACATAGTATAAGAAAGTTGAATTTTAGAATGTTACATATTTGTGTAGAACAAATGGTTAATTGACATAATTGTACTCATTGTCTAAATTTTTTTTTTAGATCATATAAGTACTCACACACACATTGTCCAGGGGAGGTTATTCCATTGGGCTAACCGCCTATTGGTACACTGAGTGCATTTTCTGCTGAGAGGGAAACCAAAGAGACATTGACGAGAAAAACTAAAAAATGTGTTATTGAAATGCTTCTCTGCCTCACTAAATTGATATCAAACACCACCAACAAATGGTTAGTTCTACAACCTGAAAGTTCACCATTCTTTCATTTAAACAGTAAACAAACAAAAGATGCAACTACACAATTCTTCTCCAACACTAAACTACAAATTGCTGTAATGTTGGTATAATAGAAAGATGTAGGTCTGTAGATGAATCAAGGTCCCCCAAGACCAGCAAAGTACGGGTGATTCAGTGCATCAAAAGCTGTAATTCTTTCTCTTGGGTTGTAGCGAAGCATTTTCTGCGTATCAAAAGCCATGGTATGAGTATTAAGAGTTAAAATTTTGTAGCTGAAACCATAAAGCTACTTTTTTTTTTTTTTTTTTCTTGGACAAAACATGCTTTAAAATCATATTTTTTATATATTTAAGGAACTATTTACCCAATTGTCATAATTAGATAAGCCGGTTATGGGAAATTGGTTAAAAGAAAAGAGTGTTAAGCTTCCTCTGAGATGCTATACTAAATTACTAGTCAATAATTTGCAGCCAAATGAATTCTTGGCTCCTCATGACAGAGCCGAGGCCTTCTAATTTCCACTTAATTATAATGAGGAGAAACTTACAGAAAGAAGATCAACTCCAGCTGGTTCAAGATCGGGAACTACTTCTGCCAGATTCTGCATCCAGAAGAAAAAGAAAAAAAAGTAAATATATTTCTAAGATTCCAAAGCAGGAAAAATAAAACCACAACCAGAACCTATACTACCTTAGGAGGACTATTCTCGGCAATACCCAAAAATTGACAATGTTCAGTCACTTCAGGCCAGATTTGTTTATCTGGTATGCCCAATAAGCTTCATAAGAACAAAGATGTAGTTAGTATAGCACCATCACAAGACATTAAGATACGAATAATCAGTGGCTCTATGAAGTGTCCAAAATAATACGCCACCTGAAAATTTTGTCTATAAGTCCAAATTCATCTGAAGCACAAAAGAGAGGCTCGTGGTTACACATCTCAGCAAATATGCATCCCACAGACCACATATCAACTTCAGTGGAATATTTCAAGTAATTGAAGAGTTCAGGTGCCATGTAAGCTGGAGTTGCTATCTGAAGTGAAACGCCAACAATATGAGAACATAGACAGCAATTGCTCGTGGAAGATTCAGAATGAAATGAAAATAAAGGTACTGAATGTGGTGTTAAAACCTGCCAAGACATTGATCTTGCCATTAAATCAGAACAGGGTATATTAAGAAATTGTTTTGAAATTTTGGTAAGGTGTAGGCCTCTTTGGATGCCCCTTCTTGAATTGAATGGTTCCATTTACGGTTTATATTACTAGTAGTATTTTAGGTCAGAAGTCCATCACCCAGAATGTATAAAATTGAGAAATAATGTATAAAATCATGATTTTTCTGCTTCAAAGGAAACCTAGAAAAGGCCATGGTGAGGAGAAGAAATATGGTTGCACTAAAAATAACTTCGAGCCTTTAGCTCAAGTGTACTCACCTCCTCCTCCCACTTGGGAGGTTGAGGGTTCAAATCTTCATAGAGGCAATAGTGGTTGTTTGTTTAATCTAGAGAGAGAGAGAGAGAGAGAGAGAGAGAGAGAAATTTACAACAAAATTTTATGTAATATCTAATAGGTCTGATTAAAATTCAAGAGACGTCAGACAAGCCCCATAGCAAGTAACACCACAATTTGCCAAAAAATATGTAGCCCAAGAAAACCCATTCTTGATTTCCCAATTCTAAAAGCGGCAAGTAATATGAATTCATTTCCAAGTACAGAGGTTAAAGACAACATGCATACCAAGTGTCACTAAAATGCTTGTATTAAAAAAAATATAGAAGTAATGCAATTTTTATTGAAATTTATCAGGTGAGAGTTTCTAATAGAATAAATTATAAAAGAAAATACTGAAACATTATCTGAGGTGCAACCTACAAATGATTCAGTTTCTAACCCACAAAGCTGATAGTGGTAAGCTCAGACTAAAAGTTCAAAAAATCCAAGAGAAGGCTGAGACAGTGAAAGGTGAATATTGGTACCTCGTCGCCTTCAGTATATTTATTGAGAGGAACACCAACTGGCCTGGCTGATCCAAAGTCTGCAAGCTTCAGGATTTTTTCACTGGAGTTTATCAGCAAATTCTGTGGTTTAAGATCTCGGTGCACAATTTTGTAAGAATGACAATAGGCAAGACCACTGAGTATCTGATGCAGAAACCTCTGCAGAAAGTAAATCATAAAATTAGCTGTTGGTATCCCTTGTTATCATCATTATCACCTTCACAGGGAAAACTAGGTAAATTTTAGTACTTAATAGGGCATTAAGATGCTACATGAAAAATTATATCATCTCATATGTTATGCATGGCATATGAAATATTCTTTTCCTTTTGTTGTTACTGTTGAACTAGTCTATCAGTACTTGTTATACTTTTTCTTTTTATTTTTTATTTTTGAAGAGGGGGGGGGGGGGGGGGGGGGGGGGGGGGGGGGGTTAGAATGTCACCAACAGTTCTTGTTCCACATACGTTGTACTCATTTCTGTTTCCCATCAGTAATATGTGTTAAAATGCTTTGGAAATAAACATCAATTAAGTACATCCAAACACCCTAGAAAAAGGAAAAATGCTAAGTACATGTGCTTACATAATTCACAATAACTACAAATAGTGAGGTCAATATGAGTCGAGATACAAACAACATTACACTCACCCAGGAATCATTAGCTAAAATAATTCAGATGGTTGATAAATTTTATCTTGTTCATTGGAGCAACTAAGCTTATAAGCTACAGAGTAGAAGAGTAGTAATAACTTTGAAATCATTTACATATTAACAACAAGGAAAATGTCACCCACTTTTATCAAATGTGGATCCTTGGCAGTCTCTGAACGAGTATCCATGAAATCCTTCAGATCAACATCCATATACTCGAAAACAAGAAACACTTTATTCGTTCCACTCTCTACAGCTACATCTAACAACCTGTAAGCCATAAGTCCATCAATTGATTTCTTAGGCTAAACCAAGATGTACATAAACTTAATCGGTAAACACAGCCAGTGACTCAAAGTCAATAGTCAACTTACAAATCCGTAAAACCAATATCATAATCTGAGTTAGAAGGATTTTTCTCTCAATATATATTACTTATTGTTTCGTAAAATTGCTAATATTTTTTCAGTGTGCAAACATGGAGGTGCAGGTTATGATTTTGCAAATGCGTAAGGTGTTTACTGCTGAAAGTAAAACATATGTAGGAAATTATTTCAAAACTTCATCATATGAACAAAATTTGACTACCAAAATCAAAACTCAAAACCTAGTTGATGAAATACTTATAGTTATAGGAAATCATCAATTTTCAAACTAAATTTTATATCACAAAACATAAGCCTGAGCAGTGTTATTCATCGTGTTAGTATAAAGATGCTAGTGCCTCATTATGTTGTTTAGAAATGTATACATATGAGCAAGCAGTTCACCAAGTGGCACCTATTATCAATTTATGATGGCTTCCTGTCTGTAACTCAAAAGAGAATGGATACCCAAGCTCAATATTGAGACTTGACAGATGTAAGGTGGAGATGACTGAAACTATCAGACCTGAGAGATAGGCAAGTAAATTTGTCACCTACAATATTAAATTTTAAAATTTGTTGACAAGGCCTTCATACAAGAGATTAAGTCCACCATCAATACATGTCACAAAAAAAATTCCTAGATTAAAATTAACACGTGGTATTGAAGCTTGCCATGCATTCGTAGGGGGCTAGTCTCATCCAAATGGTGGAGACACCCCACTCTAGTCACCAAAAAAGAAAGAAATGAAAGAAACTTCACCATCAATACGCATCCATGTTTTATCTTAAATTTGTTGAAAAGGCCTTCATACAAGAGTTGCGTCCACTGTCAAAGGAAAGGATTTCATACAAGAGATGAAGTCCACATCAATACGTGTCACAAAAAAAATTCCTAGATTAAAATTAACATATGCTATTGGAGCTTGCCATGCATCCGTAGGGAGCTAGTCTCACCCAAATGGTGGAGACACCCCACTCTAGTCACCAAAAAAGAAAGAAATAAAAAAGAAACTTCACCATCAATACACATCCATGTTCAATCAATCGTACCACGAAAATTGGCTGCTTCCTCTTAATCATATCTTCTTGATATATATTTCAGTAATATTTAACACTATAATATACTTTTCTAAACTGTTCTCTTGAATGGATCTCTATCATGATTTAACTTTTGGAAAACTATAAGTTGCCAACATTAAAATGTTCTTTAAGCCACATAAGAAGAGAGGTCAGGGTTACCTTATACACAATCTGAATGCGACTAAATTTAATTTTCTTTTCCTAGGTTAAAGTTAATTTGGAAAATGAGAGCAGTGAGAGTTGTGATCAGATACCTCATGGCAGGTTTTATTATTTTTCCAAGTTTAATCTCCAGTTATTATATTTCATATTTTCATCTTATAATTTGTAATTTTTAACTGTAAACCAACAGAAATATTGGGGGAATTACTACCTGACAATATTGCTATGCTTCATCTCTCTCAGCAAAGAGATTTCTCTAATTATTGAACCCGCCACGCCTTCAAATTTGTCAAAAACATGAAGCCCTTTTAAAGCAACAGTTTCATTTGTCTCACGGTTGTAGGCCTTGTAAACTGACGCAAAGGTTCCGACTCCAATATTCTCAAGTATCTCGTACTGTCAATTCATCATCATTGTGAGATTTTAGAAGCAAAAACTAATGGAACAATTTCAGATAATACACACTAAATCATATCTTTTACCTTCTCCATACTTATCAGATCTCACTGCCCTGTCATAGAAATAAAATACAAAGACAATGATTTAGATTTTACAAATATGAAAACATATTTAAAAAAATTAAAAATCATAATCTGTATTCTGTAGAGTAATTGTCCTATGACTATGTTTGAATTGTTTATGGAGGTCAGTTTCTTGGCAACAGTAACTAAAGCAAGAACATACATACATCTCATTCAATGCTTTGTTCAACTGCAATTAATTTCCCTCTACTCCATGGCTTCTACCTGACTCAATTCGACAGATCCTTATGCCTCTTCGGCCCAGCTACAGCCCTAAATGGATCATGTTTTTGTTCCATCAAGGACCAGCAGCAGAGACCATCTAGTCCTCTATATTTTAATTATAAAGATGAAACTAATAAATGATTGTATAGATGATGAACAAACACATTTGTGTTTAATGTTGTTTATGATAAATTCTTAATGCAGGTATACCATGTATTGTAAGAGCCATTTTCAACGAATACTGGAACTAAGAATCAAAGTAAATTGTAAAGATTATTTTGCCCCTTCATTGTAAACTGTAAAGAAAGGTCTAGATATAAACTCAGGATAAGAACCATGCTGATCTAATGTGAAATGCAGTTTTCTACGCTATATCCTAGCATGAACAAAAAGCTATGTTTGGGAGTACCGACTAGACGCCGATTCGTGCTCCCAAATGCAACACAAGGCACATTTGGGCTTAAAGACTCATATCAAACAGATATCAAGAAACTGAAAAGAAATCAAACATGTCACAGTCACACATAAATTGATAGTTAGATCCTTCAATTAACTCCCTCACGCGCGCGCGCGCACAAACACACGCACACACACACTATATCACACACTCTGAAAATGACATCTTAAAACACGAAGAAAGTTACTAATTTTGACACTGTTGAATATCGAATCTAACACCCAAAACTCTGAAATCAGAATCAGTAAACAAGATATGAAATTGTAGGGCAAGAAATCATCGTCGTATGCGGTCAGTGAAATCATCAGATTTCAAACCCTAAAAATCTTGAATTACAAATTAAAACAACGAAGCAAAGAAAACAGAAGAAGAGAAAATGAATTTCTAAAGTGATGATGACTTACTGAAAGAGAATTATCTGATTCGCAGATGGTATGTTGAAAATTCTGTTGAAAACAATTTCTTATATCAGAGAGAAAGAGAGAGAGTTGTGGAGAGAGAAAGAGTGAGATAATATGTTCGTATATCTATGTGTATATATGAAGATAGATGTAGAAGGAGAATTTCCGTAATCTCATTTACAGTTGGGCGGCAAACGATCTGAAACGGCCTCGCGCGCCAAAACATCTTCTCCAGGTGTGTTAATTACAGGGCTAAAAAGATTGGGTTTGGGTTAATATATCAATAATAATGGAAAATGTTGGGCTCATGCTCTTCTTCGTTTTTTTTTTTCTTTTTTTCTTTTTTTTTAGACATAATCTGTTTGACATTATTTGATTGACATTTGTTGAGAAAATTATAATTAAAAAAAAAAAAACTCTTTTTGTATTTTTTTAATACATAATAGTTCTTTGAAAACAATTTCATATTTTTTAAATTTTTTAAAATTGTTTTCTAAGTGTTAAATCAAAACTGTATAGTTATCTATAACCAATTACAATATATATATATTTAAAATTATTTTTTGAAAACAGAATCAAACAAGCTCATTTTATATATTTGTACGTTCTGTCTTTATTATTTTTACATTTTATGTATTCATTTGCAGCTATATCGAAAATGCAAATTTTCTTTCTAAATCTTGTTTGTAAGTTCTTTTATATATAACCATGAAAGTTTTAAATTAAACGGAATGTCATCTTTCTCTTAAAAGAAAGGTTGAGGGTTTAGACTCCGAAATGTGCCAAAAAATGAATTATGTTTATAATGTGAGCCGTACGTAGCGGTATATATATTAGAAAGTTTTGTTTGTTTTAAAATAGATCTGCATCTTTACCAACTTTACTTATTTTAGCAATTAAACAATTAATCACACGCAGATAAAATAAAGCAAAGTATAAAGTTAGAGATGACACCAAGATTTTAACGAGTAAGCCTCAGTTGATAAAATATGTCAACTGTTATAGGAAAAATCTCGTGGACTGTGCAGTCCAAAGTAAACCAATCCACTATACTCGAAACAAAGTATACCGAACTTTGATTCTGGCTCACATCCTATTGTTCTACACAAACATCAACTGCTGACAATTCTCTGGCTTTGCGACTCCTCATCCAATAGCAACTTGATCTCAGACTTATGCTTGATATTTGTAGAAGAGTAGCAGGTAGATCAGACAACACTCCTCGAATGCTTCAATCCTTTCAAAGTGTGATTGCTTTTACTTCTGTTCTTCAATCGTTTGAAATTGATGCAGAAGAAAATCTGCTTTCATCTGATCGATGTAGATGCAGCTGTATGATCACGATCAGGATTTGAACACCACAACTCTAAACTCACTATGTGTTTATGTGTATGTGTTCTAGAAAGATGACAGAAAAATCAATTCTGATTTTCTGCAAATGTAATCTTCCTAAGGCTTTTTAAGAATAATGAATTTGTAGAATAAAAGCCGTGAATAAACCAATGTATATGACATGATTTATATAGAGGTTTGCAAAGTTCTATTCCTTTTGAAAATAAAGGAAATTTCGTGCATAGGATTTGGAAGGAAAGTTGGATCAAAAAATAATCAGATAGAATAAGGAAACTGGACTTCTTTTGCAATCAGGACACTTGGAACTAGTTCCCACATTTGGTACCGATTCCCAAAGGACAGTGAGTATTCTCAAAGTTAAGCTTCTGGAACTGGTTCCCAAATCTTGGTACCGGTTCCCACTTGACAAAATCCAACTTAAACTTGGAATTTCTGTATCTGAGTAACTCTCAACATATACCATGTAGGTAATTGTGTCCTAAGTGGGAAACAATGTCATAATGTGTTGGTCTTTTCTTTCATTGAGCAACAGTACTTTCCTCTTCTATTCAACCTCTGAATTCCGCAGTCAATGTAAAGTCTGATATGGTAATTGAAATAACAACCAAACTAGGAATGTTTTGTTACCAAAATATGCCAATTTACAAAAATATATCTCACAATCTCCCCCTTTAGCAATTTCGTGACAAAACCCTAAAAACAATTTATAATCTACTCAAAACAGAAAAATAAATTACATTTGTTTAAGGAAACATAGAATTTTGTATCTCTGTTCTCTTTTATTCTCTTGGACAAAATCTCACCTGATTTCCTGCACATAAATCAAACAAAACTACCAGTGAAAGCTTTAAAAACTCCCCCTGAATAATTTATCCAAACAAGATTAGATTTTCTCCCCCGTAAAGTAACCTTGTTCTCCCCCTTTTTGGAACAAAATTGACAAAGTAATAGTAAAAGAACCAGAGAGAAATAACACTTAAAACAAAGTAAACAGGAATCAATTTAATACATGTCAGAAATCAAAACAAAATATCTAAAAATATCAAGTCATGACAATGTAAAAACTGAGCAAAAAGTGATGCATGAATGATATGAACATAGAATCAAGCATCAGGATCATCTCCAGCGAATGGAACGGTAGATATCGAAACGTCCTCATCACCACCATCAGTGTCACTACCACTGTCATCCTCATCATCCTCTGCATCAGCATCTATCTCATCATCCTCGTCTCTCTTATCCTCAGCCACAAGTGACGGATCTGGAGGGGCTGGTCTGTATACGTCCTCAGAAGTACCACCCGTCCGCTGCGCCTTAAGCGATCTAACATCTTCTTGAAGATCAAGAACAGCATCCATCAAGGCTTTTTGATTCTGAAGAATCAAAGAGTAGAGAAAATTGGCATCCAGAGTGTTGAAAGCCCATTTAGTCGGAAAGAGCTTAGTAACCTTCGAAAGAGATGAAGAAGAAGCAGTTGCACCCTTGCTAGCTTTTCTAGATGAAGCTCTTACAGATTTGGCCTTGTTAAAAGCTCTAACATCCATCTCGAACATGATCTCAATATGATGATCACGGGGTGGAAGTAGAATCTCAAAATGCCGATACAAACCCATGATGATCATAGGGAATGGAGATAATTTATTCTTAGTATTATTCTTGTAGTGCGCTATCATCAGTCTATAGATAGAAGAATCAAGATGAATCACAGCATCAATGGATAAGAGATATAGTACCTCTGCACGATCTACGGAGATAACATTCTTCTTCCCAAAATAGCCCAGATTTGAGATGGCAAACAAATTCAGAAACGCCTTCTCATCTGCCAGATAGTGATTTGGAATATAGTCGGGAAATCTCGGTGAGTCTGGAACACACAACTCATTACAAATATCTTCCCACTTTAGCACGGAATGTTCCAGTGGAAGATGATAGCCAGTGCTTAAAAAATTCTTGGGAATGCCAAGAACTGTGCCGATCACATCAGTATGAACCACATAGTCCTTCCCGAACAATGACACCTTAAAATATCCAGAATCATGAACCTTGCGGATATTTGAGAAGAAATAGTGAAGTAAGTTTGAACTGTAGGAATTAGCCATTGTGGTAAAGAACAACCACTTGTGCTTCTCAATGTAGTCAACCAATTTCTTCCCTGAACTATCTCTTAGCTTCTTCAAGTTCACATTTCGTTCCGACTTAATCAAATCGTCTTTATACACTTTAATGTATACTTGCCAAGCATGCTCGTTGTAGAAGTGTTCTTGAGCAAACTGAACCTTCCCAGTGTAAGATACTGACGGATACCCAGGTGGTATCTTAGTAGTAGAAGAGCAAGAGCGCAGAGGAGAAGTCAGAGCATCCCTTGGAGCGGTTAAACCCACTTGTGGTTCCCGGATAAAAATTGTCATTCGGGCTTTCTTGGGAGGTGGAGGTGATGCAATACCCTTGCCTTTATCCTTCTTGGATAGTCTCGGAGGCATCTTGTGTTCAAAGAAATTTGGTTTGAAGCTTCGGAGTTCACTCGGTAAATTTGTCGAACACTTGGTGTGCGCTTCAACACTTGTTCTTGGGCAAGCTTAATTTGATTCTTTAAAACCCCCAACACTCAACAACTATGAAGCACAAATCTTTAAACACAATCCAATCAAGTCCAAAGTGACCCAAAGATCTACTCTCAATCAAATCCTCCAAATTTTTGTCAAAAACCCCAAACTCCACAAATTCTCTTCAACTTCCAAGATTCAATCTTTAATCCAACTTGCAATCCAATGATTCAATGTTGTGTATGCAATTTTGTGATGAAAATGATGCAAGATTAAGCCAATATATAAAGATATATATGTATGAAGTTATAGAGAGAGATAAAACATATATAGAGTGAGAAAGGATGTGTGTAATACCCCTAATTTTAAAAGGAAAGTTTTGGTATTTTAATTATTGTTTTAGGGTATTTTTATTTGATTATTTGTTTACTTGCTTAATTGAGTTAATTGTGTTATTTTTTTATTTAATTAAATTTTTTATTTGCTTAATCAAGTTAATTGTGTTATTTGTTTTATTTAATTAAATTGTTTATTTGCTTAATCGAGTTAATTGGGTTATTTGTTTTATTTAATGTAATTACATGTTTTAATTGTTTAATGGTTTAATTGTATTCTTTATTTTATTTAAATGAATTAATTGTTTTAATTGATTAATTTTGTTTTATTAATTGTTTAACGACATAAAATACTATTAGGGTTTTGTGTGTTTATGACATCGTGGGTTAGCCGCCTTATAGTTGGTATTAAAATTAGGTTTTCAGAGAGGCCTATATATATTATCATATTATGTTTGTCTATGGTTTAAGACATAAATTAAGTTCCACGAACAGAGAGTTTTGAAACTTGAGGGATTAACAGAAGGATTCAAGGAGGACGGGACAGACTGCTTCTGGGTTGAACTAAGAGCAACAGAGGTATAGAATGGCAGTCTAGGAAGTGATCGGAAAACTGTAATACCCCTAATTTTAAAAAGGATATTCCTGATATTTAATGGTATTTAATTTATTTATTACTTAAGTGCATTTTATTTGATTATGTGTCATTATTTTTTTTATTAGGTGCTTAATTGTTTTCTTTTGTGGTAATTTAATTTATTTAAATAATATTTATTTTTAGTTATTTGATTGGAATTACTTGTTAGTGTTTTAATTATTTAATTGGCATTAATGGTTTAAGTGTAATTGGTTTAGTTATTTGATTGGAATTACTTGTTAGTGTTTTAATTATTTAATTGGCATTAATGGTTTAAGTGTATTTGGTTTAATTATTCTATGTGTGTCTTATTTTATGTTTGTCTTATTTGGTTTAATTGGGTTTACTAATTACTATTTTGTTCAATTAGATTATTTGTTAAGTATTTAATAGTGAATAGGGTAATTAGGTAAATACATCTAACTAGGGTTTTAATTACAGTATAAATTAGGGTTTTATATTATAGCCGTCGTAGGTTTCTACGTTAA